TGTGTAACAGACTGTACCAAGTTTATAATACAGCCCAGCAGTGATTTCAGTCTGGGTGTGATATATACCGTCTAATAGACTGTACCACACACACACACGTCTGTTGCACTCTGGTAGTGAATATTAAGTTTGAGGATTTTATACAGCACAATACATTGTTGCTGCTCAGGGTAACTGACATCTTATGACGCATTTCAGGATCTTCTTTTATACTGCTTCTCTGATGGGTTGTTTTTTTTTGATACATTCCATTTTTTACAGTTGAAGTGAAGCTCACGGAGATCTCAGTGTTTCAGACCAAAACCACAATTAAATCACTTTTACTTTTTACATTCATGACGCTTTTGGAAGAGCGATCACCAGAGGAAAATAAACAATCCGGGCGCAATCTCTTTAAATCTCAGGTCCATAGACTCAGGAGCACTGCTGTGTGTCCGGACACGGAATGCGTTCATATGTCAGTCAGTAGTGGAATTATTATATTGTAACATTAATCAGGCTCAGCAGAAATCCCGATTCTTTAGAGGGTTGCTGTATGGCCAAGCACTCTTTTTCTGGGTGACAGATGTCATTTAAATCAGAACCTCATATAGGCTTTAGAAAGAGGTGAGACCTGTGACAAGCATGGAGGGGAAAGGCACATAGGCCAAACCCACCGGAACTTTGATGGCCAGATAGTAATGGAGAGAGATTAGAGGGAAATACCTGAACACTTAGAGAACTTCATAAGAACACACGGCTTGGCATGACAGACAGAGAATAATAGACTTACATACAGAGACAGACAGACACATATGGGATATATATATTGATAGATAGATAGATCGATAGATAGATAGGCAGGCAAACAGACAGACAGATAGATGAATAGATAGATAGATAGATAGATAGATAGATAGATAGATAGATAGATAGATAGATAGATAGATAGATATGGGATAGACGCCTTACCCACCATAGGATAGTCACTGGGACAAGTTTATTCCACAAGGAAATGTGCGTCGCTGATTGTCAGCAACTTTTCAATCTTCTGCAGAGTGATGTAAGGTGAAATCTAGTAATGTTGAGTTTTTTCACCGTTTCATCTTCATTTCTCTCCACATTACCCAATAAAAAGCCATAAAACTAGAGAATAAATATAATGGGGCAGAGGAGACAACCACACTGGGGCCCATATGGTCAGGGACCCAACATGTGCTGACATCAGAGGCTGTACTAAGAATAACAAGGGCTTAGAGTACGGCCTTTATGACTAAAGAGAACAGATGTGGCAACTCTGAGGTCTGCCTGGGTCCTCTCTCCTCTCCATAGAGACAAACATGATGCACGGCCGAGCCCGGCCGATGGTGGTGCCCAAGGCCGGTCAGATTGTTCATGCGTATCCGACTACCCTTACATGTCCATGGGTGGCCAAACTGTTATGGGAATCACAGCGATCTGCCTAGGACATCAGGCCAATATCATTTTGTACCGAATAAAGTTATATTTTTGTTCCCCATGGTCCCTGTGTGTGTTATAAAGTAGTCTCCGCTCCAAGCTCACTCCCGGGATGGACTACAACCTCATGTTTAGTTTACTCATTTGTATGGAGATTGTAGTCCATCCCGGGAGTGAGCTTGGAGCGGTGGTTACTTTACAACACACACAAGGACCATGGGGAACAAACGTAGCCACCCTCCAGAAGGAAGGACAGTGTCAGCACCAATTCAGAGATGATTGGAGGATCTACAGCCGAGTGATACACTATAGATAGGCAGGCAAACAGACAGACAGATAGATGAATAGATAGATAGATAGATAGATAGATAGATAGATAGATAGATAGATAGATAGATAGATAGATAGATATGGGATAGACGCCTTACCCACCATAGGATAGTCACTGGGACAAGTTTATTCCACAAGGAAATGTGCGTCGCTGATTGTCAGCAACTTTTCAATCTTCTGCAGAGTGATGTAAGGTGAAATCTAGTAATGTTGAGTTTTTTCACCGTTTCATCTTCATTTCTCTCCACATTACCCAATAAAAAGCCATAAAACTAGAGAATAAATATAATGGGGCAGAGGAGACAACCACACTGGGGCCCATATGGTCAGGGACCCAACATGTGCTGACATCAGAGGCTGTACTAAGAATAACAAGGGCTTAGAGTACGGCCTTTATGACTAAAGAGAACAGATGTGGCAACTCTGAGGTCTGCCTGGGTCCTCTCTCCTCTCCATAGAGACAAACATGATGCACGGCCGAGCCCGGCCGATGGTGGTGCCCAAGGCCGGTCAGATTGTTCATGCGTATCCGACTACCCTTACATGTCCATGGGTGGCCAAACTGTTATGGGAATCACAGCGATCTGCCTAGGACATCAGGCCAATATCATTTTGTACCGAATAAAGTTATATTTTTGTTCCCCATGGTCCCTGTGTGTGTTATAAAGTAGTCTCCGCTCCAAGCTCACTCCCGGGATGGACTACAACCTCATGTTTAGTTTACTCATTTGTATGGAGATTGTAGTCCATCCCGGGAGTGAGCTTGGAGCGGTGGTTACTTTACAACACACACAAGGACCATGGGGAACAAACGTAGCCACCCTCCAGAAGGAAGGACAGTGTCAGCACCAATTCAGAGATGATTGGAGGATCTACAGCCGAGTGATACACAAATAAGATACATTGTTGTTCAGAGTTCAGGGACCGGAATGTATTTGTAAGATTTAACTCCGGAGTTTAGGGTCACTCTAAATAAGTCCATCTTGCTGCGCTCCATACCGGATTCCGTAGATAACCTGTGAACACAGGTGGGTGCTTCTAGTGACCACGGATGGCACCGTGATACGTACACAGTTTCAAAGAATGTCACCAGCACACCGTGCTTACATGTGATTAGCAAAAGTCCATTTAATGGTAATATAATACAGTTGTAATTGAATGGCGTTATATTGTCATTAAATGGACTTTTGCTAATCACGTTTAAGCACGGTGTGCTGGTGTCACTTTAAAGTCCATCTAATACTACCCTGTCCACCAAGTGACAACGCTGCAGTGATATTACTGCAGAATGAGCAACGTTACCACCTTGCGGAAGGAAGTTGAAAATGAACAGATCTACTGGCAAGATCTAATACTAGTGAAACTATGTTACAGGGGGACTTCAATAAACAAAAAATACTTCTGTGTGATTACTATTAGGGATGGACAGATACCAAGTACAAGGACAGTGGTGGAGCGCCAGGGCCCAGTCACAGCTGCAAGTCCTCGTGAAAACACCCAAGTATCGGCTCTGGTATCTGTGCATCCCTAATTACTATCAACAGACTGTATAATATATGTAGTTTTCTTTGTTTGACCCTAGCTCTACTTGAAGGACTGCCTGGGGGGGTGGGGAGGGAGGGGCAAAGCTTTTCTTTTGTATGGGAAATTAGGAAGTCTCAGTTTAAAAGTTTCCAAAAAATCCAATGTCATCTATCATCTATCTATCTATCTATCTATCTATCTATCTATCTATCTGTCTGTCTGTCTGTCTGTCTGTCTGTCTGTCTATCTATCTATCTATCTATCTATCTATCTATCTATCCATCCATCCATCCATCCATCCATCCATCCATCCATCCATCCATCTCTCATCTCCCATCTATATCTATCATCCATCTCTCTCTCTCTATCCATCCATCCATCATCCATCTATCCTTTTCTATCTATCTATCTATCTATCTATCTATCTATCTATCTATCTATCTATCTATCTATCTATCTATCTATCTTCCGTCTGTCTGTCTATAGTAAACTCCCCGTTATCCGGCATCCACAGGGATCGGTTGATTCCGTATAAATGTAGTTTCTGTTTGCTTGACAGTTACTATTAAAAATAGGTCTAACTCATGCCATACCCCCATACTATACCCCTTACTACACCCCCATACTACACCTCCAATACTATACCCCCATACTATACTATAACATAAACTCTGTATTGACTTCATATTACTATTGAAATGTAGTAATCAATAGCAAAAAGACGCTCTTAAATCAAATTAAAACAACTAGGCACGCAATTGTTTCCAGGAAAATACATGCCGCAGATCAACGGGTACACAGCAGGATTTTTTTTCTTCTTCTGGTTAGACGAGAGTTCTGGTTAGTTGAATACCGGATAACAGAGAGTTTACTGTATCTGGAAACGAAAAGGGTTAACACCGTCGTCCTGCTTTACAAAAGGTCCTAGGTAACTTGTACTTTGTACTTAAAAAATGGGCGGCTGGTAGCAATTTAGATGTTTTTTTTCAGGCGCATTTCAAAGGGCGAGTGGAAATCTTGGGCATCCTTAATGTTAATCTATGCCAATTGGCGCTGGCAGGTAGATTGATGTCAGATTGTTCCCGCTTATTAGGCTTCTTTAATGGCTCCCCTCTTCTATCCATTAAAAGAAAGAATGGTAACATCTGTATTGTTTTCTTTTTTTTTTTTTTGTTCTTTGTGCACAGGCAGGAAAAAAAAAAAAAAACACAGAATTGCTACAGTAGGTAATCTGATGTGTAAGAAATAAACGCCTGAAGTATGGAGGAAGTCACTAATTTAGAGGTGTCTTGTTATTGAGACGCACTTGCAAAAAAAAAAAAAACCCTGAATCTCAATTCGCAAATTGGCTCCACGTTTGTCGGGGGATATTTCACATCTAACACGTAAGCCCACGACCTTTAATTAGAAATTTTGCAGTTTGTTTTGTGGCCCCTGGAGGCTGACACCTTGAAAAAAAAACAAAAAAAACTGTTCCTGGTTTTCGCCTCGCTAATAAGCATATTCCTCCTTCCCTCTGGTACTCCAAAGAAAACGATGCAAAAGGCGTTTAATTGCGGCGGTGGCAATAATTTGTAAAGAAGAGGGGGGTGGGGTGGGGGGGTTGTATTATCAGAAGGAGGTGAAGGAGATCTGATTGAATCTGTGATCACTCTGCCCTGGTTGTAATGAAGGATTGTCTTTTTTTTTTCTTTTCTTTTTTTGATCAGGAGGAAGGCAGCATGTCCCGTCTTTCTCTAACGCGTTCGCCGGTCTCCCCGTTGGCATCGCAAGGAATTCCTCTCCCTGCCCAGCTCACCAAATCCAACGCTCCCGTCCACATCGACGTCGGCGGGCATATGTACACCAGCAGCCTGGCTACCCTGACCAAGTACCCGGACTCCAGGTAAGAGACACTTTCCTTACTTTCATGCCGCTGTTGTGCGTAGGACGACCGCCCCTGCGTCCTTCTTTTCCACGCCGGACTCTCATTGGTACGGATTTTCATTGCGCTGAACCAGCCTGGAGATTTTGGAGTTCTAGAGTGTTGGTGGGAGATTAGGACTCACAGGTTTTTGGGGCGAGTGCAATGCGCAGAGCAAACGACCAATTCGATTTCAACTTTTCCTTACGTCCAAGACATCAACGAAAGGACGATGAATCCATAAATGCGTTGCCTTATTATATTCACTTTGCTCTGCGGACGGTGTATCAGAAAGAATTGTTGTCTTTTTTTTACATAAAATTCATTTTTTACATCTCAGAGTTGTCGTTTCTCCTCCAATCACTTCCTGTCTACAGGCACTCGCTCTAAAGTTCCGATCTGGCTTCCTGATGGTGACAACAGTGGACAACACCTGTGCAATGTGTGTTGGCGTGGTCACTTGTAGTCTCTACCAGGGGGGGCAAGTGACACGGTGACAACTAGGGTTGCCACCTTTTCTTCAAGCGTAACCCGAACACTCTAGCGACGCGCAGATATTTTTTGGGGGGAGAATGAGTGGTGGCTTATTCATATGTATATATCACAGTTGAGACCATTTTCAATAGGAGACCAGTAGCCCCTCTCTTAATTTTGGTTGCCACCGTCTGCCTGACATCTTGTGTCCGGGTTCCTGCTGCCATGAAACCCGGACACAGCATTCAAAACCCGGACTGTCCGGATGAATCCTGGACAGGTGGCAACCCTAGTGACAACACATTATCTGTTTTGCCTGAGGAAGGGACTTTGCTGTTCCGAAACGTCGCTTTGATGATGTGACACCTGTGAAGTCAATAAACATTGACTTTTCTACATGCTGGAGTGCTTGTGACCATTTTTTGTATCTTTCGGACTTATTTTACGGAGGCATCCGCGGTCATTTCATCACCCACCCTACAATTAGGTTTTTTTTATCCGGTCAGGAGTGTGATGTTTTTTGAAGGGTGACAACACAGGAGCACCACTGGGAGATTGTTGTCACCCTGTAACAGTAAAAGCATGAACAAGGCCCCTTATGGCAGGATAACCATTTTTTTTAGCTGCAAATATATAAAAAAAGATTGAAGTCTTTAGATATCACATTACCATGTTATAGCTTATATGATATTTTAGTTATTGTGATTAGATCTGTGTGTGTGCTCAATCTAGTCCTCCTATCCTGCCTACCTTTGTCTAAAGCTGAGCTTTGATTGGATAGTTTTATTGCAATTATCCTCAGCTTGCTGTAGAGTCGGGGTAGGCAACTCCAGCTGTAATGGAACTACATCCATGGACTTTGACTCCCAGAGGCAGAGCATGCTGGGATTTGTAGTCTTGCCACAGTTGCAGTTTGCTTATCCCTGCTGTAGACTCTTCATACAGCTTTCCTGCAGTGACTGGGTCAGATATGTGATGGTGCACTCTGTTTGTAGACTAACATGGGAGGAAATGGGTGACAACGCCTCAGCCGAAATGAGTAAGCGTGGTCACCCTAGGAAAGGAAGTACCTGTGACCAGGGCCGGATTTACTCTTCTCTGCTGCCACAAGGCCAGTTTCCTAGATGCGCCCCCCTGTACGCAGGCTGCATACAAGTGATCTCGTCGACATCACCGAGATCACTTGTACAAAACAAGCGGCGGCTTCACCGCTGTACATTTAGTCCTGCTTGTCTCCGCCCGTCTTGTAGTTTACTGTAGTGGGTGGAGCTGGATGGGCCCCTCCCACAGCTCTGCTCTCTGCGCAGGCTATGTACAGCACAGTGATGATGTCACTGCTGCTTTCACAAGGTATTATCCAGGTTTGCAGAGGCATTTGATGCTCACAAAGTCAATTTATATCCTTTGTATCTATAGAGGAATATATGTGGATGAAAGTTTTTGTGCCCGGAGTTCAGCTTTAAACCCGTAGAAGTTAGGGTTGCCACCTTTTCTTCAAGCGAAACCCGAACTCTCAAGCGACGCGCGGACATTTTTTTGGGAGAATGAGTGGGGGCTTATTCATATGTAAATAGCGCTGCCCATTCCTATGTAAATATCACAGTTGAGACTATTTTCAGTGGGGGCCGGTGGGCCCTATCTTAATTTTGGTTGCCCCTGTCTGCCTGACATCTTGTGTCCGGGTTTCAGCTGCCATGAAACCCGGACACAGCATTCAAAGCCCGAACTGTCCGGGTGAATCCTGGACTGGTGGCAACCCTAGTAGAAGTTTTAATTTAATATTTTCCATTAGTTCAATGCTGCCAATCAGCAGAGTTCTGTATGATGGCAGCGCAGGCGGGACATTGGCTTTGCCGTGTTTTGCCAGTCGCATCTGACAGGCCTCTGCCCTGACTTATAAATACACAGGTTGTGACCCGGTGTAATAAGCTTCTAGAACAACAAGTTAACGTGTAACCAGCTCTTCACATTCAGCAAGGTCACCCGGAGTCTGGGGACGGAGGCCGCTGTTTATCCGTTGTCCTTTCATTTTACCCCAAAGAGGGGAAAGAAAAGAATGGCAGCCCTCGGTCGAAGGGGAGTCCAGTGTATGGGACATGATTTGGCTATAAGGGATGTGTTTGTAACATTGTAATTAGGAACATGCTCGCTTCCCCAAGTTCCCAGATGTTTGGCTTCAAGTCCCAATATTAAAGGTCTATTTACCATGCAGCAAGAGTCTACCAGCCCGGCTTCTCGGGTTCCTTGTAAAGGACGGTTAAAAACTTAAAACACGGAGCCATAAAAATGAGTTATTTATGGCGGTTTCTATGCAAAGTTGCTATTTAAGTTTTGTGTGGTAGCTGGCAAGTTGATGCGCCAGCTGCTTACATCTGGAAGAGTCGATGTTGGTGTTTGTTCCCCACAGCTGTTTGTTTTCAGCTGGTGGCGTGGAAGTGGTGATGGCGTGCAGCGTTTTGACACAGGGCTGGCTGCTCCTCCAAACCAAAAGGCTTCCAAGGCCATTTTGGACGGATACAGGTGAAGGAATGAAGGACTTGTTCATCACACCGGAGTGTTGATGCCCAAATTAAGTTTATTCCACTTGAAAGTTTAAAGGCATGCTTCACCTTTCAGATAATGGTCCATGGTACAACCATATTTAGGGTCCAACGTGAAATATGGTGGCATTTCCCAACCCTCATACCACCCACCCTCTCCACTTACCAAAATTGGTGTATTCCTCTCCCTTCAGCATCCTATATTTTTTTTTTACTTTTGTGCTCGTGCATCCAGCACTGTGTAAACTTGACCTAAACATGGCCAAAAGTATTTCCCACTCCTCTAAATGACTGAGGTGATTCCAGTGAAGTGTGCTGTTAATACTACAACATACAAAGACACTGTAGACAATTGTGCTCCATTCTTGTGGTCACAGTTCGGTGAAGGCCCTTTTTTGTTCCACCATGACTGTCCCCCTGTGTACAGAGCCAGCTCCATATAGACATGGTTGGACCAGTTTGGTAAAGACCCTTTTCTGTTCCACCATGACTGTCCCCTGTGTACAAAGCCAGCTCCATAAATACATGGTTTGAGCAGTTTGGTGAAGACCCCTCTCTGTTCCACCATGACAGCCCCCTGGGTACAGAGCCAGCTCCATAAAGACATGGTTGGACCAGTTTTCTGAAGACCCTTTTCCGTTCCACCATGACTGCCACCTGTGTGCAAAGTCAGCTCCATAAAGACATGGTTGGACCAGCAGGCCCGGCGCTACCGCAAGGCAAGTCAGGCGGCCGCCTGAGGGTGCTGCAGGGTGAGGGCGGAAAAAACAGGGCATGTTGACAAGTACTTGTACTTGTCAAAATGCCCCGATGCTTGCGCTATGTTTTGTTTTTTTTTCTTCACTTACCTTCGGTGCGGGAGAGCAGCGGCGAGTCAGCGCTGGTCCGGTGGGAGGAGCTCCAGGTGGGGGTCCTAATTTAGCTGGCTGGCGACTGCCAGAGGTGCCGCGCGTGTCGAGATCCTCTGGCATCCTCCGGGGGTTGGTTGTGGGGTGGGGGGGCGCAAAAATTCAACTTTGCCTGTGTTGGCAAAAATCCTAGCACCGGCCCTGTGGACCAGTTTGGCATAGAGGAACTTGAGTGTCCTGCACAGAGCCCTGACCTCAACCCTACTGAACACCTTTGGGATGACCTGGAACGCTGATCGTGAGCCAGGTCTTTTTTAATCCAACATCAGCACCTGACCTCACAAATGGGACAAATTCCAACAGACACCACCCAAAATCTTGTGGAAGCCTTCCCAGAAAAATGAAGGCCAAAAAGAAGAGCCAACTCCATCCTAATGCCCATGGCTTTGGAATGGGATGTCCGATAAGCTCATAGGTGTGTGATGAAAAGGGCACAGAGCCTTGATCTCGACCCTACTGAGAACCTTTGGGATAAATTGGAACACTTATTATGAGCCTGGTCTTCTCATCCAACATCAGTACCTGACCTCACAAATGGGACAAATCCCCACAGACACCCTCCAAAATCCTGTGGAAGCCTTCCCAGAAGAGGAGTCCACCATACAATGCATCAGTGAGCAGTTTGAGTTCATTTCTTCAGCTTACTAACTAACTAACTAACCAATCATTTTTAATTGTTTAACCAATATTTGCCTTGTTGCTATAGGCAGCACCTACCACTCCTATGTATCAGGTTTTAGGAGTTCCCTTGCTGTATCTGCCACATCTAATTATTATTATTATTATTGCTGTGCATGTATCTGAGTGTCACTGAGCTGAACAAGGCAGGGCAACCATTCTTGCACGCTCTCAGGGGAGGGACTGAAACCAGTTTTCTGCATGAATTGATGATGCGCTTCTAATTACAGGTACTGTGTTCATAACTTTGACCTGTAATTAAGCTGATGGAGCGTTACAAGCTCCTCTGGAAGTTCTGATCATACCTTGTATGTCTGAAAACATGGAGTTGCCTATTTTCAACTCACTTGTATTCATAGGGAAAGTACAGAGCAGGGGTGGG